AAAAAAATCACGCTGACATTCACCCATTTTGACCTCGAAGCAAAAGATGCCCTAACGTCCACATGCTATGATAACATAATGGTCTATGACATCAATGGTCTGACTTCTGCACTGATTCAAAGCTATGGTAAGCAGGTTTTTACAGCTGCCAATGTCTGTTCCCCAAATAATTTGTACCTGCAGAGCGAAAGTAACTGAAAGTCCTGCTTCAGTTAATTGAAGAAGCTTTTTTGTGTCACTTTGGAACTGTGGACAAACTTTTTTTGTCATCAATCCTTTCAGGTCAGTTTTGTGGAACTACGCTGCCTGATCCCATCCAGACAAACGGCAACAGGCTGCTGATTCGTTTCCATACAGACTTGCTTACTGAAGCTAAAGGTTTCAGGGCCTATTGGACAACAAACCCCAGCCTGCCTGCTCCAACTGAGCCACCTGTTCAGCCCAATCCCTGGGACAACATCATCATAGGTGGAGTATCTGCTCCAGCCCCACACAGTTTATTACAAGCACCTAGACTGCATAGGTGAAGCTGCATCGATCCACACTTTTCTACGAAAATAAATCAACTGATCTGTTGAACTCATAAACAATCTGTTTATTTCCATCAGTTATACAAGGCCTGTTGTGGTACACTGTTTTAGATTTCCAGTTCGCTAGGTTCAGGTTCACATTTGTTCCCTGCAGCATTAGACGGCTCAAAGGTCTTTCAATAGAATATAGTGTCGACTGTGTGCGCAAAGAAGCATTTCTTTGCTAATAAATTAGCAATGACAACCTTAAAAGGCAGTAATATATCAGATGTCACGTTGTCAGCGTGTCACACTGAATCCGAGTAGCAAAACAATAAATTAGTGCGCTGCATTTAACATCGCTGTTAAACACTGCTGCAAGTACTGAAACAGTCAGGCAGCATTTGCCATAATTAGGGACAGTGGAGCTCTGCACGGATTGAAATAAAGGACCTGCAATTTGTCACAGCACGGCTTCAATACCTGCAGCTATTTTATAAAATCGATCACTCTGTTTAGTATTTCTTAATCTTAACTAACAATAATACATTTTATTTAAAAAAATAGCGCCTTTCAAAGCACCCAAGGGCACTGTACAACAGATAAAAACACAAAAACTGAAAATATACACAATAATAATAAAAATAACAGATAAAAGTTAAGAACATACAGTGATTTAAACATAAGCAATTTTAAACAGATGAGTTTTGAGGGTGGACTTAAAAAGAGGGAATGAAGTAATGTTTCTGAGGTCAGGGGGTAAGGAATTCCAAAGTCTAACTAACACACTTTCAGCTGGGCAGTAGTTCCCACTAGCCAATTAAACTGACCCCCAGATAAGAGTTTCACACAGCTGCTGCACAGACACATTTCACACATTCATCTGATTCATGATTTCTACTTATTCTTTCTTCACACCCTCTTTACTGTCTCCCAGATGTGCAGTACAGCAAGGTGATTTGATGTGCCGACTTTCCCTACTAACTTGCCGGTTGTCACCTGATTTCCATTCTTCAATTGCCAATGAGCCCCAGGTGGCGCAGGGCCCTGCCAAACCGATAGCTGAAAATAGTTTTATAGATGGGCTCCACTGTCTAGGAGATTTTACTCATTTAGGCTCTTGCAGGGTCGCCCTGTGAATAGAGTGACGCAAGTAAAATGAGTACAAAGGAAGAAAATGTGTGATAAGAGTGACTGGGACAGTTTAGTGGGAAGTCTGTAGATTAATAAATTTATATCTTCACGCATGTCCATGTTGTGACATCAATTAGCTGAATTTTGCCGCAGGAGCATGGTATTATTTTTGAATGAAGATAAAGACATTGCAGTATGTGTGCATATTACTAAAAGCCAGAATCATTAGGACACAGTTTAAACCTGATACAACTGGAAAATTATTTAAAAAAAACACAAGTCTGTTAGCTGCTGATACGTGCCGTCTATTCAGGCTTTATTTACACAGGCACAGATTTGTTTGTGTAGCCTGTACAGTGCACAAACAAATCATTTCTCGAGAGACTCTGTACATGTGGGTGTTTGCCTTTCCAGACTGGCCAAGCACATGTGGGAAACCAGCCATTCCTCCTGCTGTTGTGTCACGCATTGTGAATGGCGAGCCAGCCACACCGCACTCCTGGCCCTGGCAAGTGTCCATGCAGGTGAGAATCTCCATGTGCCAGTGAGGAAAATTCACAGAAAGATGAAAACAAACGGCGTCGAAAAGCCTCACGAGTACATAACCTGTGCAGTTACAGTTTCCTCACAATATGATATCCGTGTCCTTTTCTGTATCCTATATTAATTTTCTGATTGACTGTACAGATCTGAACCCAATGCTGTTCATCACATTTAATCATCATCATCATCCTGTTTAGTGAGTTTCTTCTCTGCTTGTTTCAGGTCTGGCCGACCAGTCAGCCAGAACCCACATTCTCCCATACCTGCGGTGGTACTCTTATTCATAAGAACTGGGTACTTACAGCAGCTCACTGCTTTATAAGGTACATGTTCAGTTTCCTCATCAATAAATACATGTACTATTTCTAGTAATGTGTTCCAAAAAAAAAAAAAAAAGTTTTTCAAGTCTTTCAGTTACAAAGAAATGACATTTAAGTCTGGCTTTTATTGGCTTTTATTTCTGCAAAAGTTTTCCTAAACTTTCTAGAAGCCCATTTGTGTAATCTCAGGAGGCAGTTATCAGTGTGTGTGTGTGTGTGTGTGTGTGTGTGTGTGTGCACTGTTACCTCGGGCTTATTACAGTGTGGGAACAATGCCTTGTTAGAAATGCCTCAACGCTTTGGCTAATAGGCTACAGTGTTCTTTAGAAATAGAGGTGCTGGTGCACCATGGAGCCTTTCGAGTATACATATATATGATAGATACATTTTTGTGGAACTAGAAATCCCACAATCCAAACAGATACAGCTTTATGTCACACAGTGCACTGACAGTGACAGGTACAGTGTAAAGCATTAGCATTAGTTCATCTGCTCATTTCCCACCTAGATACGCTGATGAGCTGGAGCGTTGGCGCATGTGCCTCGGCAAACACAACTTGACCTACACGGAGCCGAGTGAGCGATGCTTCGGCATATCTGGTATCTATCGCCACGAGGGCTTCAAGTACCCCACAGTGCCCTCAGTGGAGTTTGACATTGCCTTGGTCAGACTGGATGGAGAGGTGACACCCACTGATGAGATATCATTTGCTTGCCTTCCATCTGAAGAGGAAGCCCTACCTGAAGGAAAAAAGTGCTACGCCACCGGCTGGGGAGATGAAACTGGTGCTGTTTTTGTCTTGTCATGTTCATTAGCAGCCTCTGATAAAATAATTGTAGCCTGATGTTTCAGAGCTGTGTTAAAGTGATATTTATTTACAAAGAACTAGAACTGCATCACCTCAGAATTGTATATTTAGCATGCCCTCTGCTGGATTTAATGTGTAAATGCCTCTTTTTTAATGTTCCTGCATCAATCTCGAGGCTTCTGTAACAATTGAAATGCGTCTGTGTGTTTATCAGGTGATTCAATTAACCCTAAAGCTGCAGAAGCACTCAACCAGGTCGCCTTGCCTGTGGTGCCTTATGACACCTGTAACAGGATGGATTACTGGTGGTTCCAGGTCAAGACCTCCATGATCTGCTGTGGTTATACCCTGCCTGATGAGCTCAAGTCTGTTTGTCAGGTAAAAGAAGAACTATAAGAGGAGCTATATTGCGGCCATAAATTGAGGTTTATCTTAACAGTAAACTGGTCTGGTCCGATAACGCTTAATTTCTGTACAAGAAGGGCTAAAGACTCCATCTGTTGGGCAGGCTGATGTCTTTTGGTCAGCATGGCAGCACAGAGAGAAACTGGAAACTACTTAATGGACTGGGGAAGAGGGCCAGCTCTTTCCAGTTCAGTCCCCTAGACTCCATAGATGAGGTGGGTGAGAGGAGGATGTTAGCCAAGCTAATGTCCATTACAGACAACACCTCTCACCTCTCAACATCCTCTCACTCAGGATAAATAACTTTGGATTTAACTACTCTTGGTAGTGTGGCTTTAATTTCACTTTCCCTTCTGACTCTTGTCAGGTTCTAACAGGTGAATTTCCCCAATGTGGGACTAAATAAAGTTATCAAATCTTTTAAAAGAACAACAAAACCACCTTAGTGTTTTAATGTTCTGACTCTTGACAGGGGGATTCAGGGGGACCCCTGGTTTGCCAGGATAAAATTGGCGATCCATGGGAAGTTCATGGCATAACTAGCTTTGGCCCTATTGGATGCATTATGAATAAGAAGCCTTCTGTGTTCACCCGCTCTTCTGCCTACATCCCGTGGATAACAAATGTCATCCGCCGAGACCTCTACAATGAGCACAGTATGAATCCAGCTCTTTAAACATACTTCGTTTCCCCACTGTGACAATATGTGACAAAGTCAAAGCATAATGCCAGTTTTCTCTCTCTGTCTTCTCTATGTAGCATCAGGCTGTGGGGGACCAAAGGAGTTGACTGGTACTGGTGGCACTCTGTCCTCTATGGGTTACCCTGGCACCTACAGCAACACAGCCCAGTGCCAGTGGAATATTCAAGTGCCTGAAGGCAAATTGGTTCACCTCCATTTCCACAGTTTCTCTCTGGAGGAGAGTGATTTGTGCCTAAACGACAAAGTCAGACTCTCAGACAAAACAGGAAGTCTGGGTATGTGAGGATCTGCCTTCTTTCCATGTTAGACACCAGCGCAGACATTTCAGCACAGTCAGTGCAGCCTCTTGTTGTTGTGACACAATGACAATGAATGTCTAAAGTTTGATCATTTGTGATGTCAGGATAAAACCTAAAATTTGTCAGGCTAAAAAAAATTGAACATCTGCATAGCATGCATGGCAACCAGAAGCCCAAAGTAGACAAATAAATCTCTACACAAGTAAAAATACCTACAGACCGGTAACAAATAAAAGAAAAACCTTTGACCCCCACAAGGAGCTTTCACTTCCAGAATGAACTGGTACAAGCACCTTACTCAGTTATATAACCACCATGTGCTAAAGAACCATGGCATTAAACAGACTGGTACAAGCACCTTACTGAGATAGAATATATACTCTAGTAACCCTTTTTTACTGTGCAGTAAAGTGCCATTAATCAGTTTGCCAGGCGTAGCACTGAACAGATAGTGGTGTCACATGTGATCAGCCCTAAATGTCTCAAACACATATCTGCAGTTTTTGGGGGGAATTTTTATTATGAAATGAACTCCTAGGACAGAGCTTCTAACACATTTTCATATTACCTCAGGTACCCACTGCAGTCACGTGCCTCCTGCAGACATGGTGAGTGATGGGAATACGCTTCACATCAGTTTCTCCTCCAACGACAAAGTGGTTGACTCGGGCTTCACTGCCACCTGGAGGGCAGTAGACCCAACAGAAGGTAAGATAACATAAGACTGCGAGGGAAAATGTAAAAATGTAAAGCATTAAATATCTAATTTTCATAATATTTTTAAATCTTCTCCTTTCCTCTTTTCAAACTCTATTCCCTTCCCTCCTGTTTCTTCTTGTTGTACTTCAGTTCCATGTGGAGGGACTTTCAGCAGTGATCAGGGTGAAATTACTTCTCCTAACTGGCCCAATGACTACCAAGCACAGACTGTCTGCACGTGGCACATCAACGTTCCTTCATCAAGAAGTATTCATGTAGCCTTCACTCACTTTGAGCTGCAAGCTGTAAACCTGTTAGGAAATTGTGTGGACTATGTGGAGGTCATCAATGGTGAAACGATGGCATCACTCGGTGGGTCTCCGAACTTTAAATACCGTCCACAATTTATGTCTCAGGTCACATAACGCACAATGGTGGAAAACTATGATTCATTCTCCTCTATTCTGCAGGTCGATTCTGCGGCTTTGCCCCTCCACCCCTCATCAACATCCCTAGTAACACAGTCGTCATCCGCTTCCTTAGTAACGGAGCCAGCCAAGAGAAGGGTTTCCGTGGTTACTGGACTACTGACACCAGTATCTTCCCAACTCTACCACCTCTCCCTAGTAATCCATGGGACAACATCACCATCAGTGAGTGTAGACATACACTGTAAAAAACTGCTATAAAGATACTTTAAAGGTACAGTCAGCCATAGTTTTTTAGGTTATTTAATTTAAAAAAAACTACTTTACTCATAGATTTACATTTATTAGTCTGTAATTGCATTTTGCAACAATTAATGCATTGTCATAAATTTTGAATTTATCATTAAAAATACATAGAGTGTTAATTGGTTTGTTTGGAAGCTACCATGTTGCCCCGCCATCTTGAATATAACGGCCGAGACAGATCGTCTTTAAAGCTAATGTCGTATATGTATAGGGTTAGATACTAGCCACATAGTAATACACCACAGTCAGAGAAGAAAGGAACTTGTAGCCCTTTATGTAAAATTGAGGCAAATTTTATTTATATCTTAAGATATGAAGGATCTGAGAATGGGCCCTCTTCACCAAAGAAGAAAAAAAAACACTAAGGAAAAACATATTACCAGCTACTTAATAAAATGTCCTCCTAACATCAAGGCTCATCTCCTAAACGGAAGTCAAGGCTCTAACACCTGAATTGTGCATAAACATGCTCATTTTTTCTTGATGTTATTGCAATTATTTATTGTCAGCAGATTAGACATGCAGCAGTCTCTGGACAGCCAACAAGAGCTAGCTAGACAACAGCTAGTTATAAGCTAACATTATACCAGCTAATGTTAGGCTTGAGTATCCTAAAAATCACACTTTTACTTAAACATTTTAATTACATTATCACATTGTATGAGAGGTTTTTTTTATATATATGTATTTAGTCCAAGAAATATAAGATCCACTTCATAGAAAGTTTTACTAACAGTATGTAGCATTAGCTAACAAAGGCTAACAGCAGCTAAGCTAAGCTGTTTTTGTCTTTGTTAGTAGCTAACAAAGACAAAAACAGCAGTGCTTACTGACAGAAAAGTTCAGGATATCCTGAAGAAAGTCACTTCAGTATCGCTGAGTTTCACTTTCTTATTTATTTATATCAGACTCTTTTCACAAAGTTTGACAGCCTCATCCAGCGTAAACAGATATGGATTGAATGGCAGCCACTGTAGCTAGGATTATGCACTTGAATTGAGAGTTAACTGCAACCTGAGTTTTTGCATACTGTAATGTTACATTTGTGATGTTCTTTGCAAATACAGGCAAATTCTGTAAATACTGATACTGAACCTACTGAAAATTTCTTCCCAATTTATTTGTGTATTTGGTGCAAATATAAATGAACACAAATGTTTCAAGTTCAAATTTTAAATCACTAATTTACAAGTTGTAATTTCAGTTTACAGACTAAACATTGTGGTGTTAAGGTTTAGACCTGCAAGGTTTGGCATCACTTTGAACTCCTGCCGCTGTCAATCACATCTGCCTAGTTCACCTTCAGAGTGGTTGTTGGTCCAATGTTGAAAACAGCAGCAGTTTTATACCTGTCTGGCAAAAGGAGTTGGAATTGTGACACAGCTGATATCCTTTCATAGTTCACCAAAATACAGAGACTGACACAAGCCTCTGGGTGTTGGGGCACGCAGTTATATTTTACAGGTAAAAACAATATAATGGTAACCAAGCTGACAGTATTACACTGTATTGCTTAAATTTACTGTATCTATCTACTGTATCTATCTTTTACTGTAAGAAAAACTGATGTTTTTCTCATTTATTCTTTACTTAAAATATATTTACTGTATGACTGGTATAGATATTATAATAAATGGTGCACTTTCTTTTCCCAGTCTGGCCAGAAAATTGTGGAAACCCAGAGGTGAAACCTAGCACAGCCACTGTGAGAGTTGTAAATGGTGTAGAGGCGATCCCCCACTCCTGGCCCTGGCAAGTCTCTATGCAGGTACTGTCAGCTCCCGTTCTGCATGACAGTCAGTGACAGAGCAGATCTTTTCTTCTATAAATATTCATGTCTCTCTTTTTAGGCTTCACCGTTCTCTCCTATACCTTATATGCATGGCTGTGGAGGCTCTTTGATTCATGAAGAATGGATCCTGACTGCTGCTCACTGTTTCATGTTGTAAGATATAACTACAAAACTATTTAAATTATAGGAATTTAAATAGCACACAGTTTTTGAAAGTGATTATACCTGATAAATCTGAAGTTACAATTCATCAAATGAAAGTGTAAAGAAATGGGAGATATCACCTGAATCTGTATCTTCCCTCAGCTTTAAAGCTCTCGTTATGAGTTTAACCCTTACATACAGTTATGTGAGCTTTGTTCATACAAAAGCTAAAGTTAGGAACTAGCTGGAGTAATCAGTACGGATCAATCTGTAGAAATCAGACGAAACTGTAGAGACCTTTTAGATTCAATCATTAGTAAAGTCAGCAAAAGCTAAAAGAGAAGCTGAAGAAAAAATAAAAACCTGTTCTGTCTCCTTCACATTTATCTTTCACTTGATTTCCAGCCCACTGAATGTACCCTCCTTCTGGCGCATGTGCCTGGGGAAGCACCACATGAACTCCTCCATGGACATTCCCTCAGCTGAGGAATGCTACAAGGTGGATACCATCATTCGCCACAAAGGATTTGTCTACGAGCAGGATCCCAATGACATCACCAACGACATAGCCCTGGTTCACTTGGCCAAACCTGTCAATATGATAAGAGAGATCAGCCCCATCTGCTTGCCGAAACCCGGGGTCGTGATGCCTGCTGGGACGCCGTGCTTTGTCACCGGCTGGGGAGACGAGAAGGGTAAAAACAGTCATGCATTTCCAACCCTCCTTCGGTCTGTACTTGTACTATAAAATTAGGAACATCCTGTCTCAGTGATGCTGAGAAACTAGTCATAAAAAACACAACAGAAAGAAAAGAAAGAAATAACAACTTTCAATTGTCCAATTACTTTTGAGCCTCTGAAAATACGGGACAACTTATAAAAGTGGCTGTAGTTAATAAACAGTTAATGCAATACTTTTGTTAAACCCCTGGAATTAAAGCTGAACGTTTACAGTTCAATTACATCTTGATTGTTTGATTTTAAATGCACTCTGATGGTCTAAAAAAGCCAATACTACACTAAATTGAGTCTCTGCCCAGAAACGTCAGGATAGATCAGTGACCCTGAGCTATTCTTACTTATGCTGCTATAGGCTCAGGCTGCTGAGGACTTCCTATTTAATTTCCAATCCCCACTATTACTGCATGTGATTAACTTTTGTCTACTTTCTTCTGTATTAATTTTTTATGATGTTTGTTGTTCCTAGTCTCTGTATGATCCTGTTTCCTCATTCTATCTTACTCATTACTGCCTCCCTGAGCCTGGTTCAGCTGGAGGTCCCCTGCTGTTAAAACAAGGGGGTACATGACTTTAGATGACTTTAGATTTAGTGATACAATATGTAAAACAAAATTATTACTGTAAACATTTTTGTGTTATTTTCTGAAATTTCTATGATGTAAAGATTTTAATTTGTTCTTCTTATATTTAGGTAACCTGTTCCCCAAAGTGGCCGAGAAGCTTAATCAGGCAGCGCTGCCTGTTATCGACTTCGAAACCTGCAGTAAGCCTGCTTACTGGTGCGACACCCTCAGGCCCTCCATGATCTGTGCCGGCTACGAGTCCCCAGATGAGCTCAAGTCAGCCTGTCAGGTTTGATGACACATTTAGAAAATAGTATTTGCTTGAATTAAGGATGCACTGACGTCTGGACAATATATCGATGCATCCATCATCTAAGTGGACAGACTGAAAGTTGTTAGGAGGCGATGAGACTGTTGTTCATTGTTTAAATTCCTTCCGAGTCATTTAAAAACATTACGTAAGTGTGCCAGCCTCTCTTCGTCTTTTATGCAGCTCCCTGAAAACGGTTTTGTTTGCGGTCATTCAGCCTTGATCTCAATGGCTGCTGTCCAGTTTGCAGGCGTAATTAGACAGAAGAACACAGAAACATTATTCGCCAGCGTTAATGAGCAGCTGCTAGAAATGCAACAATGTGAAAAATGGGATGTTTTACATTTCAGGAGCTTCATAAAGCACGATTCTGACATTTGCCTAATGAATACTTTGTCAGGCTGTTAATAAAGACTGACTTCTACAAATTCAAGGTCACGGAGACGATTTACAGCAGCTGCCAAAATCTAATGTTCTGCAGTGCATCATAAGTAGATCTTTGCTGATTTCTTTGTCCTGCTGTCTCCTGGTAGGGTGACTCCGGCGGTCCCCTTGCCTGCACAGCTGCCACTGCTGCTGGAGGAACAAATACAATCTGGGAGGTGCACGGCATCGTCAGCTTTGGAGCTCAGGGCTGCATCAGAGACAAGAAACCATCAGTGTTTACCCGCGTTTCCGCCTTTAGTGACTGGATCGACAGCAACATCAAGAAGTATATTTATGAAAGCGGAAAAGCTTTGTAAAGCTGACATCTTTAGGTAGAGATTATTCCATGTTTAGATTTATTTTTTTCTCTTTAAAACCCCCTGAATGTAACAAATGCTGACCAGCAGCACCAACCTACAAGGTTGCCTTGCGTCCCGTAAAATAATTTAGTAAATAACATATTGCTTGTACGTTTCTACATATTAAACACTGCTGAACATTTTAAGCAAATTATATTTAAGCAAATATTTGTAAAATAATTTGTAAAATAATGAATAAATATATCATGTATAAATAAAAAATACATATCTATAAAGCTTGCAGTTACTGTTTCCTTTTACTTTATAGTTTTGTGGTCAAAATGAATATTTTAACTGTAATAAAAAGTGTAGTGTTAAAAAAAATCAAGGTTAATAACAATTAATGGTCATTTGATATAACTTAATTTGCCAGCCACTGTCTTGTTGTATTTTAATGTCTCTCTGACCAGCTGTTTATCTGTTATATTCAGTCCACAACCATACGTAAAAAAAAAAAAAAAGAAGGACCTCAAAGAACAAAAAAATAAAAGGTTGGTTTAAATTTTAGATGCTGCAAATAATAGACCTTTACAAAAATCACCATTGGTTTGATAAAACGACATGAGGCTCTGAAGCCGTTTCCTGTTTTTGCGTGCACTTTAAAACAGCGTCGAGTAAAACATTACTTCATTTCTCTTCCAGTCACTGATTAGCTCTGTTCTCTGGTAGATGAATGTTGCAGCACATATTTAAAGTTTTGGGGGTTTAACCCCCCTTGATCACATGACCAGGCCTCTGAGCCAATGAAAAAACTCGGCTCAGATTTCAGCCTAGGAGAAGGAGAGGGGGGGAAGGGGGGGGGGAATGAAGAGGGAGGAAGAGAGAAAGAGACAAGCTCTAATCTGTGCTCATGGTCTGCCGGTAGTGACAGGACTTCCTCAGACTTTTTTTCCCCTTTGGTTGGATTATATGTGTTTTTTAGAGTATCTGAATGGCTCAGTGTGAGACGCAAAAGATTCCCAGCCCTGGGAAAAGTCTAAGAGTGTGTCCTGGAAAAGAGTGAGGAGCGGAGGAGGGAAGCCAGCTGTACTTTTTCTCCTCATCGTTCCCCGGAGTGCCGGCGTTTTTTTCTGTGGGAGAATGGGGGCAGGAGCTATGACCATCTGTGTGAGTAGAAACTGCAAAGCTTGAGTTGACTTCCTAATCGACCTGTAATTAAGAGCTGAAGAACATATAACGGGACTGTTCTGCTCAGTGTCTGTATACAAACTCATTTGTGATGGGGTGTGTTGTCTCTTTAAAATGTCCTGGAGGGACAAATATTCCTTTCCTAAAGTAAATCTTAACTTTCCCTTACTCAGCTAACTTATTACCAAAAAGCCGTGAGTCATAGGGCTGTAATGACCAATCTACTTGCTTCTAATATAAAGAAAGTACTTCCTCTTACTGTAGATCAACAATACATTTATTCTAGCATCTTTAAAAAACAACAACTGTAAAAAAAAACAACAACCCAAAAAACAGAAACACTGTATGTTTTATGTTTTCAGTCAACACCAGTAATTTTTTTCCAAGCTTATGTGATCACTCCCAGAAATTTTGCCGAATGGAAATAAGAGTTGTCACTAGCACTGCACCGGGATATTCTATTTTATTTAATGTTATTCTTCTTGCAGTAGTAACTGTGAGCTCTGCAGCTGTTGCTTCAGGGTTCCTGTGGTGCTTTTGCTGCCAGTTGCTTCAATGGCCACCCACACAGGGAAAGAGGGAGGGACAAGGGAGGTGGGGGGTGGAGGCACATGCTTGGGCTTGCTATCCCCTTCATGAGCAAGTAGAAGACAAGACAGGGTTGGAAAAGTCATTTCGCATTGTGGGCCACATCTTAAATTGGCAGGACGAGTGTAAAGTCATTGTAAAGTAGTTTAACTGCACATTTAATCCCCTCAGTATAAGAAAATTAATTGCAGTTCCAAAAGTACATCACAGTTTTTTCCACATTTAAATTATTTATGTATTACTTCATTACATTGGTGTAGTATGAATGACTGTGAGGGAGTCTTTGTCAGCAGGACAGGCTATAAAATTTATGAAACTTAAGTTAAAAGTGCAAAATTCTTGACCTCCTTCACATCTTCTGAAGCCTTCCAGTGGGCCGGATTGGAGTTTGCTAGGCCAATTCTGGACCCCAGACCTCAAGTTTGACACCCCTATGCTAGATGGGTTATACCGTTAGCAGTCTATTTACAGGACAATGCTTTTAAAAGATTTCACTCACTCAAAGTGTCGAAACCAAAGGATTCTCACAGAAAATGTTTGAGACACTTCTGAAGCAAAGGGAAACAATTCCTTCCCCCAGGTCCTTGTTAGTAAGTTTCCTTAATAAGTTTCCTTTTCACTGTCAGATGTTGAAGTGTGAAAATATCTTAAAAACAAGGGAGGGGACGAGCATCTTTGGCTGAATCCCAGCAACAATGGAGGCGATTGTGTTTGCATTCAAATTGCTGAGGGGAAACCCAAAACCTGCTATAAAACTTTTCATCTCAGTGTTTGCCTACTGTGTGAATTCAGAAGCAAGACTGCGATTCATTTCTATCTGCCATGATGATGATAGTAAAGGAAGATTTAGTGGGACATCTGCTCCGTTGGGCCCCTTACAGTCAGTCTCACAATCAGACTTAGCTCAGACCAGCTTAACTCCTTAACACCTGCAGTAGTAATAGCACAGGAGCCCAGACTGTAACTCTGAGAGGTCCAACTATGGCCACATAAACTCAATTATATACATAAACAATCATTTGTGCAAGCGGAAAATCTAAAGATTAATGAAGATAGTTTGTGTTTAACTTGTCTGGCAACTATTAAGACGTGTACAGCCTTTATAAATGCTGATTTAAGTGATAATGTATGTTGTATTAACACAGTCGGAGCATCTGCCATGCTAAAGATTTTGTCTCCTTACCCATCTTAGCACCATCTGTGAGGTGGGTTTTAATCAGCAGATGACTCTAGCTTCTGTGTCTTAGCAAGTGGTGAGTAAAGGAAAAAAAAATCATATTACAACCACCGTGCCACTATGGACCTTATTGTAGCCACATTTTAACCCAGGTCTCTTCTGATCGTTGACATGCTGAAAAATAAAGCCGTTGCCAGATAGATGATTTCCACGTGTTATTGCATAGTAGATGAAAATCTGATGGTACTTTCTTTGTTCAGAATTCCATCAGTTTTGACAAGATCAAGAAATGCCGCCTCAAACAATAACGGTGCATGTTCACGACAGTCTATCACATCTGTTGCCCCTCATTTTTCAGTCCAGATTTTGTGTAATTTGGCATACATCATCATCTTTTTGCCCTGCTCCCCTTCCTTAAGGATGGCTTTCTGACAGTCGTCTTTCCACTGAGACTATTTCTGATGAGGCTTCAGTGAACTAAACGACCAGACACATCGCTCAGGTCCTTTGTCAGGTTGTTGCTGGAATTTTCCTGTTTCATCATCAGATGAGTAGTTTAACAAAAAATAAATAAATAAATTCCTCTGAAAATGCTCAGGTACAAGGACTGAAAATGAGTGAAAAAGCAGCCGATGTGCAAAGATTAAGATTATGTTAAAAATGTAAAAGAAAGTTTGGCTCCTTGGAAGCAAAATATTAAAGAAATATGGAGTGACTCAAGACTTTTGCTCAGGACTGTAAATATGCTAAATGAATGAGTAATTTGCTGGAAAGTTATGGTTTGCTCTCAGAGACAGACAACAAGCAAGTGTATCTTAAAGTCTCTGTATGCAGATACAGAGACCATAGGGATGCTGTTTGCCTCGGTATCTTACCAGGTAAACATTATATTCCGGTTTTGAATTGGCTCAGCTTGGCTAAGAGTACATAAAGTGTAAAACCTAACTAAGTGTATCAAAACACCTGCTGTACTTAACTTCAATTCTTAGTTACCTGAGTACTGTTAGTATTTTTTGGTACACCTAAAAGAAAAATGCTGCTCTATTTACTCCTTTATTTAATGTGATAATCATATATAAAATGAGACATATGGGTCTATATCTATATGTATTGAATAGCCTATGTGAAGTAAACAATTATATATAAGTAGCAAATCAGAAAATGTAATAATATGTTTTTCCATGTTATATTTTGTATTTATTTCTCAATGAGATTAGCAATGGAAAATGTCATTTTACTTGTAGTACAATGAGCCTCTCCTCTTAAGGTATTATATCAGTCTGATCTGATCTCATATCCTTACTATCATTCAGATTCATGGCAGCTGAGCATATACCACATGTGCTTCTCTAAATATGTGCTCATATGCCTATTTGTGCATGTGTGTGTGTGTATATGTGTGTGTGTATATGTGTGTGTGTGTCACTCTGGCAATGTCTTTAACCAAAGATGTGTTGCGAGGTAACCTGATATTTGTCGTAGCAACTCATGCACAGCCAGCTTTCCTCTTTATCTTCCCTGCAGCTCTCAGCACACGGTGTTCTGTAAGAGCATGGCAGAGTGACGGAAAGAGCTCTGCGCGTAGTCAGCCACTTCATGAGCAGCAGCACACACATTCTACTCTTTGGGATGAAGTGCGCTTTCCTGTGTAACAGGTGTCTACAAAGATGTCTGTCTCTGTTTCCATAGTGTCAGTGTCTGACTGCTGCTGTCTGCTCTCCCTGCAGCACAACAAGGCGGCGGTGCAGGTTAAAGAGGACATGAAGAAGATGGTCCAGATGCCCATCCCGAGACCCAGGATAGTCGCACCCAAGCACACCAAGGTGTTTGGAGTGTCTCTTTTTGAGCTGCGAAACCAGGGGCTGCTGGAGGATGGAGTGCCTCTGGTGGTGCGGAGGATGGTGGAGCATCTCCGCAAGCATGGTAAGGCAAAAATGCATGAGAGCACTGGAAGAGAAGTGCAACCTTTGGCTATATTTTATTTCTTTGAGTTTTTGCTGAATACAATCGGTCTTGCATGCTGAGAAGATGGTGCACATAGATTTTTGAATATCCAATCCTACTGGTGTCACTACATAAATACAGCTTTATAGTGCCATCTAGGCTTTCTTGTATTACATAATTTGTTCTAAATAAATCATCAGTTATACAATAATCAGAAACCTCATTATGTCAATCCTCTGAGTCTCGTTAATATGAGCCGGATAAGAATTAGACCAGAGCAACTTTACTAGACTACTGAAATAGAGTTAAATGTTTTTTTGTCATTGCATGCATTATTAATATTTCTCACAGACTTGCCATCTTACTCTTCAATTAGTTACTCTTGATAAACAGCCACAATCATTTTAATACTTCATCATTTAATTTGCTGCAGACAAAAACAATGCAAAGTTGAATCACTTTCACAAGCTTAAAAATCCCCAAGTTTCCATCACCATAATCTAAAAACCAGATATATAGAAAACAAAAGAGACTAAATATTATAAATAATATAATAGTTTTCAATGAGACGAACAATTTAAAAAGCAAATTTGTTGCTAAATAAATAAATATAATCACACAAATCCACAGCTCTTGCTTTGACAAACGATCAGCCAACAGATGTCTCCAGAAAAAAATGTATATAGATATTAATATATAAAATGATCAACCATAACAACACATAGTTAAAAAACAAAACAGAACTTGTAAAATTTCTATATTAACCTACATTATTTTCTGTAGTTCTTCTGTTTGAACACTAGATGTCCCTACAAGAAAACGATATCCTACTCAGGTCACCTGAAAACATAGGCCTCATTTAAAGCAATTATTGGAGTGTGTTTAATTTGACTTAAACTCGCTGTGCAATCATTTCACTGGCCTATGTATTTAAAGACTGTCTCATAACCAGGTAAGGTAAGCGTGGAGGGAAATAATATAATTCCTTATGGGCCAACAAACATAAATAGCCTACATGTTAGAGCTGTGGATGTCGCCTTTGAGATTTCTTCCTCCATTAAGTCACCCTGAAAGACAAATTTCATTTTTGCAAGTAGTGCTTAAAGCAATTAATTTTTTAAAAATTGGTTCTTGTTTTGTTGTGTTTATTTATTTTTAAGAAATAAATGTATAATCCAGGGAATAACGCTGTCACTTGTTTCTGAATAGTATTATTTGGCCAGAAAATAGTTCCAAATAACTACTCTTATTATTATGGGTATTAGTGTGCCATTTTATTAGCTGTTAAAAACAAAACTTCAAGGGTCTACAACATGAGTTGAAATCTTTTAGTAAGAATTTTTAAAAATATTTTATCATAGTATTATTATTATTTTGTTATAAAATACTAAGTGTGACAAAGGTTAGCAACAGGTGTTGATAAGGCAAAAGACAGTTGTTAAGGTTTTAGCAAGCACTTAGCAACGCTAACTAGCAACATAATCAAAACAGATACCAAAAACAAAACACTGACAGCTATTAACACAAATCTAAGCTGCTAATTTCATGTTCACAGACTAGGGCTGTTCGATATAACGATATATATCGGATGACGATATAAAAACGTCTATCTTTCATTTTACCCTATTGTTTCGTGGTGTCGCAAAATAAACTGTTTACGACAATATTTTGTCATGATTTCGATGGTCACTGTAGTGGCTATTTTCATTTCTTAAAATTCTCTCTTTCTCTTATATTTATAACCACACTAGGGACGGACAAGCGCCTGTTTTTCTGCGTTGTGGTTAGCAACAACAACGGTAACAGCATTGCATGTCCGCTTGTTTATGTTCCACATAAACCTTTCACTTTCACTTAAAGCTCAAGATCCTGTTGAGATTTTTCAAAATAAACTGAATCACGTGAAAGAGCAGATTATTTACGGATGAGAAGTAAAAAAGCCGCCAGGTGCTAAAAAATAAACCTTAGACTCAAACGTTAGAACAGGCTTTTCCCTGCAGCACACCGTGTAATAAATACTCACAATGAAAGCATTATTAGTGCGTTTAGACTAATTAAAATAGTGATAATGCTAACAGCAAATACAAAAGTGTAGTTATTTACTACTAAAATGGCATGCAAAAAAAACCCCAGCTAATTGTGAGTTTGGCAATAAAGTAAAAAGAAAATATTCCTGTCTATCTGTTAAGTTACACTAAATTAAAATTTTCATATATAAGAATGTCACTTGCTATTTTTTTCTCAGTGTGTTGTTGATCTGCTCAATATAAAGAATTAAAAAATAAAAAGGTGGTCAAACCTTTAGATTTTATATTTTTCACAATTTCACTTCTTGGTCACAAAAATGCCTTTACATGAAGGAAATTCAGACTTGATAGCAGTGCCAGGATGTAACAGTGGGTCAGAAAAGATCCTTGCAAGTCAACATTACAGTGCAAATCTGCAAATTGCTCTATATTCTCTGAGAATGTAAAGTCTGCTACCAAGGAAAAATTAAATTAAACTTACATTTACTATTTAAGAAAAATAAAATATTTTTAATAATGATTTAGTTTAGTTTTATTTGGATAGCACCAAATCACAACATCAGTCACCTCAAGCCCCCTTATGTTGTAAGGTAAAAATCCTATAATATTACGAGAGAAAACCCCAACAATCAGACTGCCCCTTTTAAGCAAGCACTTGGCAACAGTGGGAAGGAAAAACTCCCTTCTAACAGGAAAAAACCTCTGGCAGAATCAGACTCAGGAAGGGTCGAGACCAGTCTGCAGTCTGAGAGCGCAGTGCTCTATTAGGGTGATATGGTACTTTGAGGTCATAAGATAAGATGGGGACTGATCATTCAAGACCTTGTAAGTGAGGATTTCTTTATTTGTAATATTTTTTGTCTCTTAACTCCTCCAGCACTGCATCAGGAAGGTCTGTTCAGGGTAAATGGAAACGTCCGTGCTGTGGAGACCCTGAAGCAGCATTTGGAGGGTGGTGGTGATGTGAACCTGCTCTCTGAATCTGATTCCTGTACTGTTGCCAGCTTGCTCAAACAGTACCTGAGAGATCTCCCCGGGGGTCTGGTAGTCGTGACAGTCCAGCAGGCACTAATACAGCTTTATCAAGGTAAATCACCAATATGTTGTCCTACCTTTTGTGCTATTTTTTTTATAGGCAGTGTATAAAAAATATCCTGCAACACGTGTGGGTCAGTGTTTTTGTTTTTTTGACTGGCAAAATGTGATCATGTCGATATTATTGGATACACCCCTCCAGTGTAATGTAGATCTGGGTCATGACTCTGACTGGATGATCAGCAAGACTATCTTTAGCTGGTGAATTTTACGATCAGCCGCGCAGTCGTCTACAGCAGGCGGAGCATTTATATACTGCGTTTGCTTGTGAGAGAGGGTGGTAATATGAAGGGTGATGGACCAGATTTTTCTGGTAATAAACCTTTGAGGTCATAAAAGGTAAAGTGAGTCATTTAGCAAGAAAAGCATCTGCAATCGCTCCCAGCTTCAGTGCTAGGTTTAATCCGTTTGATGGGAGTGGTGTATACTTTATCTGCTGCATTCCCTTTGCTTTCATAGACCCCATGAATGTCGGCCTGAGTAGTGACGCTGCTCCTGACGATAACTGGAGAATAAGATTATTTTGCTGGTTTTTGTTAAACTGTTTTGTTTCTACCAGGTGTGTTTCATTCATTTATCCAGAGAAAATCCCAAGCGGTTTTTTATTAAATCTTTCTGAATGCCAGGATTTTCCGCATTACAAATTTTAACATCACAAAACTTTTAGAAGTATTAAAAAAAAGTTGCTATTGCTATCAGATTTAAATCAAAGAACTTAAGACTGGTATTAATCTTTTTTATTTCAAATTTTAAAAAAAATAAATGATTTTGATTATCAATGTTTAATGGCAGTAGTCAACCCTTTTGTTGTCTCTTATTTGTGTATAGTTAAGTTAAATAACTTTGTGCCATTGAGCTATATTTCATCACATACTTGTCTATAATACTTTTGCTATGTCTCTACTATATTTTCCCAGAGCTGCTAAAAATATTATATTATAATGTTTTTGCAACCACTGAAAGTTTTTCTAATCCTGCTGAAGCAGAAATTCAGACCTGATGGAAAAGTATATGATAACCTAGTGTATATGGTTACATTTTGTATGTACATATGCATGCAACACGAGATGTATACTCTTTCCTCTGTTTATGTGCAGTGTACACATCTGTTAAAACACAACCTTTTTTTGCCCTAAAATACATCAATAATAAACATACAGGTAAACACACACACACAGAATCTGAACTTTACTCAGCTGTCAAAAGAGCAGCCGTGAAAGCTCTGGGCGATTACTGCCCGTCTCCAAACTGAGACAGATGTACTCACATACCCACATTCATACGCATGCATGCACATTCACATAGACCTACAGTGCACACTCACAACGTTTGCGTCACTAAGTCATTTGGGATCAGCAGTCGTATCCGTTTATCCACCTCTGACCCAATTATGTACCCCCAGTAATAGCATCAACATATTTTGAGGCAGTAATGCTCAGGTATTAGAAGTCACCATAACCCAAGATTAGATATTATAGAGGGATGATGGATTGAGCTGTTACGCCCTTCTGGAGAGTATTCATTATACTTGGAATTTTACTTGGATTTTTGTTAACTAACTGTGTAAACAGACCAAAGCAGAATGTCCTTGTTAATGAAAAACTTGAAGCACAAGTGCATTACTAACCTTTCCACTAAAGGTTGTTTGCCAGGGATTTCATAAACTACACACATTGAATTAAAAAAAATCCTATAACCTTTTTTATCTGTAGAGCGTGGTGGTGATGGTGACACCTGGGCAGACGTGAGACACCTTCTCCTGCAGCTTCCAGATGTCCACTACAGTCTCCTGCACTACCTCTGCCACTTCCTCACCCTTGTGGAGAGCAGCCACAAGGACAACCGCATGACTGCCCTCAACCTCGCTACTGTGTTTGGACCCAGCGTGTTCCAGTGAGTGAAACATTTCTTTAGATTAGATGTGGTTAAACAGTCCAAATACACACCTGTGCACCATATCACTCTATGAAAGAGGGCATTTCTTCTTGCTGAAAGCTATAGTCACAGCCTTCTGGCCATCCATCAGTTTTCTTCTGCTTATCCAATCCACAAAGGCCTCGTTTGCCTTGTGGATTTGAACTCAGGACCTCCTCCTGTTAGCCAGCACAGTGCTAACCACTACACCCACTCTACCTGGTGCCTCATTTATAAAAATGTGAGAATTTTACACTCAAATTTATACTTTAAAAATAAAATGCTTTTTTTAAGCTGATTCTATGTTTTGTTGTTGTGTATTTTTGCATAAATGCCTTTTCATACAGAGTTTTCATGTAATTTCACTGTTTACATGAAATGAATCAGTGTTGATTCCCCAGTTTTGTAGTCTGATTAATAAACAAGGGCTCTGCCTCTGTCACATTGCCTTACACGTGAAAAATCACTGGTTCAAGACATAGTCTCCTAGTGCCGCCCTCAATCCTGGATAAATGGAAAGGTTGCGTCAGAAAAGGCATCCAGTGTAAAATCCAGTGTTTAGCCAGAAGGTGATGCTGTAGTTTACTGAGTGAGTAGAGAAGCAGATTGTCAGGAGAGCATAAAAATTTCATGTTTTGAAGAATAAAGTGCTAAAAATAAAGGGTGAGGAAGTAGCAGATGTAGCAGAAGAGTGAATGATTATAAATTAAATATAAGTTACCACAAATTTAACGGCAGTCAGTAGTTTTTGTTTGTTTTTTTTGTTTTTTTCAATTAACTGACTTAACAAAGGTCACTCAGAAAGCTAATCAGTTTGATTTACCTGTGCATTTAAAATACAAAGCACAAGTTCAGCTTGGTACCCTTGCACAGTGATTCTCTATGTTGCATGATAAGTCTACATAACTGGGTTGCATGAATTGTTTACGCTTCCCGGCCTTTTTCTGTTTGCAGATGTGAAAATGTTCAGAAATAAATTATACAGTATGTGGCCGTGTCTCAGGCTTCTGAGCTCAAGTTTTTAATTTTCTGATAGGCTTACTCGGTGGCCAGTTTTAATGTTAGTAAGCTATACTAGTTAGTAATAAATAATTCAATTCAATTCAATTCAATTTTATTTATATAGCGCCAAATCACAACAAATGTCGCCTCAAGGCGCTTCATAGATACAGAGAAAAGCCCAA